TGATTATTTCTATCTTCCTGTAGACAATTGCATCCAGACATTTCTCAGACTGATACATATAACATTACATTGTTCTTGAAACTGTATATTGTCATTAAGATCAATTTAAAACTGGATTTGTATAGCGGGGTGAATAATTTATTTTGAAAATATTGACCGGATGCTCCTCCTCTAATTGTGTCCGACTTGACACCGGTACCTAGTGACCCGCTCAGCCCAGTCCCTTAAAGAGAGCAGGAGTATCGCCCCGGCGGACAGTTGCGGTAGCCTTCTGGCTCGGTTATTTGTCTTTCTCTGGATTTACACCGCGCAGATAACATTCCGGGATGCCTTCAAATGTACAAGGTACTAAATAACACCGACAGCGGACTGCTTTGTCTCGGGCATCTTCTGCATGTCTGCAGCGAGCTAAACGCTTCTTTACAATAGAGCATCAGCAGGCCAAGCTAAACCTGCGTCGGTATTAACTAGCTGTCTATTATAATAACCTGGTTTTCTGTTCTTTTTTTTCCTCAGGAGGGAAAGCCTTTGGCCTGCTAAAGGAGCAGCAAAGGTCGAAATTGGAAGAAATAAACAAGGTAGGCATGCTCTCCTTATTTACCGTTTATCGGCGTGCATCTAACGGCACCTCACGGGAATTCATGGAGCACGCATACACTTGACTTGGCATTGGCCTTGTTTGTGAAGCGTGATTCAAGGCAGTGAGTCCCCCGGTAGATTTGTGAATTATGCACGAATTCCCTGAACGCAACACGCATTCAATGGAAGCCCCCATAGCGATGCATTTTATTGATTTTGCCCTCGCAGTCTGGTGGCACTTGTTGAACCGGCTGCATGCTGTCACACGAGGATTCTCCTCCTGGCCCGGGTCGTGTCGATTTGTGCGTAAAACCAACTCACACGAAGCGTGTTTTGTGGCTCCTCTGTCTGGTGTTTCGAGCTCTTTGTCTCACACCGGGGCCTCGCTCCGTCAGATAACTGTGAAGTAACGTCAGGTCCTCAGATTAACGACGTGTCGGTACATAATCTCCGTTTCCCTCCTTTTACTTTGGCTCTCGTCGTGCTCTCGAATGGAAACCAGGTCGCGGCAAGAGGGCAGCCGGGAGCGCCTGTCGCATTTCTGTGCACAGAAGCAAACGCACTCTTATTCCTTCATGAGATTTATGCATTTTATTTGTCAAATTCCTCATTTGTTCATTAGAGAAACAACCCCTTAATTCCTAACGGATACACCTAGAACATACCAGTTGTACTGTAATTAAATCCTGTGTTATTCATCTATGGAAATGTTATCTGATCATAAAGTCGATTGACATCTGCAACCAAAACTCACTCCAGCTTCTCCAATGTGATGTTTATTTAGTATAAGCCTAATATTATAAAGAATATCTTTGGGACAAAACAAGCCATTAGAAGACACCAGCTTGAACTGTTTCTCATCATCTTCTGACATTGTATACACAAAATAAAAACAATTTACTGATCATTTCGACCCGTTAGCTGCAGCCCTAAAATACTTTCAGCTGGAGGAGATACTCAGTATTTGACCTATGTATTGTGATGCGTTCTTTGTGGTAATACTGCCTCTCGTTCAAATACACTTGCATACATTTAGGATACACTCTGACTGTTAGGGGACATTCCTGCGAGGGTGGGAGTTGCAGCGTGGGGGGTGGATCCAGCAGGGCTGAGTCAGGCGTCCCTGATAAGCATCCAGCTGTGGCGTTTCTCCTCTTCACCCTCTCCTTTCAAGCTTCACAGAAGTCAACGCAGAGAACAAACCTCTCTTCTCTCCGCGTAGACTGAAGCTGACTCCCACATGGCAGATTGCTGCCATTATAGTTTCATTTGAAAAGATCCCTTCCGGCCCTTTCCTTTTACACCCTTGTGGGGTGTTCCACTTAATGAACACAGTGATAAGTAATGTGACTGCAGCGGGAAGAACGCAGTCAGATTGATGTACTTCATGCTCTAATTTGGGCTTCTTTCCTCTTTATTTGTGCGTTGTGAAACACTGCTGGAACTTTTTTGACACAAGGTTTCAACAAAAAATGGGCTCAGATCTGATTTTAGGGGTTTCAGTCAAACTCGTAAAACTTGTTTGTTTTTTTCCCCCGATCACCTTCAGTTTGTTCACCCCTCTTCCTCCTTATCAGGAATACCTGGAAGACCAGAAATACAGGGATGAAGAGGACCTGCCCGAAAAGCTGGAAGGCCTCAAAAGTAAGCAAATCATTCCCTATCCCCTTTCCCAAAGTAGTTTCAGTATCTGTGAGGGTGTGTTCCTCTTCTCTTTGCCTGTATATTTGTTTGTTTTTTAGCGGTCTGCTCACACACGCACGCACACACATGCAGCATTTTGTGTTTCTCTGTGGGAAAGACAGACTGCTGAGATTCCAAAGAGGTTTTGCAAGGCCAAGTCCTCGGAGGGCTTGCAGGAATGTGCTGGAGGGGCGGCGTTCCTCCGCTTGTTGTTTCAATATTCAGAAGAACGCTGGGTAAACTCAAAGCTCCTAGGAATAGAATACAATCACTGCTACCAGGAGCTGATTGCGGGAACAAAATGGCACGATTTGCCAAAGAACTCCTCCCCATTGCTTTGATATTACACACGTGTGCTCTGGGTGTATTTAGAGTCATTTGTTTTCTGCCTGTGTGAGTTTTCTTTATCCACGATTTTTCAGACGGAATAACATAAGGCTGTTCGTTCGAATAGGGGGCATGAGAAACCTGCTCGGTGTCCTACTTGCAGTCTCTGCTTGCTGCAGGAAATGGAGCAGTAACGTATAAACAGAGAGGGGGCCCGACACCCAGGTCCTAAGAGGATCTCTGTTTTCTCTTTCTATCTTTCCCCTTCTGTTTCCATACTGTCCCAGTGACCCAGAGGTCAGTATCTAAACCAACCAAATCACATCAATGCTACTGCATTCACCACCAAAATACATCATACTAATACTAAGTCATTCTTAATATTCCCTACTTAAACATTTGACTTATTTGAAATCATTTTTTTAGGGTTTATTATTCAAACTTATTTTCTTTGTTTTAATAGTTATTATATGGCAGATGCTTGTCAGCATTTTTGTCAATAAAACACCCAAAAGAGAATAGTTTATAGTGGATATTAATTGACATAAGGAGCACCAAGTATTACTTTTTTTATAAAACATAATAGTACGCTTATTCAATTTGCATTCAGGAAATATCGGCAGAACAGGAAAGCCTTTCTTTATTCCGCTGCTAACCTTCTAATCACACTGGTTAAATACCCGATATCAGCACTTTTTATTAACAACAAGACGCAAACAAACATTATATAGCGTCTCTTTTTAAACTAGCTGTATTGATATTAGACTTTATTGAGATGTAACTGTCATTGATGGTGGTGTTAACCTCGCTGCCAGCTCAGATCAGCAGGTGATCGATCACATCGTACGTTCACGTTGCAGTATTTTAATCAGAGCAGCGCGTCACACTGTCGAGGAACGTTTTTTCATGTTTGTAAAAGTAGAGACAAATGCTGTCGCTGCTAAACTGCAGGTCAGACACCAACGTGAAGTTAGTCTGATGAAGCCGGTTTAAAGTTTGTATTAAACATCACAAGCACAGCAAAATAGAGGAAGAGGCCAGCGTCTCTCTGCAGATACAGACAGCGCCACACACACTAGTGGGTCATGGCAGCTAGTCATCATCCATCTCAATTATTTTATCAGCAAGGTTGTTTCCTCAGATGAAAGCTGCCAAAGTGATTGGTAGTCAAACTCGGCATCAAACAACTTAAATCAAACTCAAATCACAGACTTCTTTATGACGGTCAAAGAGAAGCAGAAAATACTTCATAATTATGGCGTAAAATGTCTGGTTCATAAATCGATGGCCCTGTAACTTTGTCACATCCGCTGCTAAAGGAATGTGGGTCAGGAGGAGACACTGAAGACAGTTTTGTTCAGCGGAGCCATTTTCTGTGGCTGCAGATGATCAGCGGGCTGCTCTACGACAAGTGGCCCACTCAAGAACTGGTGTGTGCGCGTGATGTGTGGAGGCCCCCTTCTCAGAGTTTACAAACAGGGTTAGCATTGTCCTGTCCCGTTCCCCATGGGTTCACACAGTTAACACAATCCCCTCTCTCTCCCTCCCAATACACACACACACACACAGCGCTTCCAGTGTGGGACAGAAATTGCAAGTGTAATCTGACCAAAGTGTTCTTCTGGAGAAAAGAGTGGTAAAATTTAGGGAGAAGCGAGAAAATGGCATGTATTAGTTTTTCAGAGCGTGAAGCCACATCAGCATGTTAATAATGAGCGTTTATACATGAGGACTGTTTTAGTGATCATTGGCCGAGAAGCCCCCGATCAGATTTAGTCAGAAATCACTTCCCGTCTTTGTTGTCATAGTACACAGACCAACTAAGAGTGTAAACGTTCACAAACCAAGTTATTCCTGTAAAGTGACCTACTAATCTAACTGTGGGGGAAACACACGGCAGAGCAGAGAGTTTGTAAGATGTACTGAAGAAACAGTTATAATAAACAAATATGATCTAAAGATGAGAATTAATAAAGCACAAGACAAATGAAAGCACCGGGGTCATCGACCCCTTAAAGGAGAATCGGATTATAATTTGAGTTGGAGTTTGATATTTAAACATAACAGCAAATCTATGGATTGAAGTGAAAACCTTTCAACTAGCTTGTCAAAGCTATTTAATTTTGTCCTGTAATAAATGACTGCTTTTTTGTTGTTTTAAGACTTTAAGTCCCAGGAAAAAAAGTGATGAGTTTGCTGTACACAAAGTACAAGATGGCTCCAAATGCAGTTTTTCTTTTTTTTTTTTTTTTTTTTTTTTTTTTTTTTTTTTTTTTTTTTTTT